TCTATCAATCTTTAATCAAAATCTGGAGAGATCTTTACTTTGGCTTAGCTGCTTCTCAGTTCCTGTCCTGTGAGCTCTAAGACCTTTCTCCTTGACTACTTACACAACTGAGAGATTAGATTTTCTCAGTATTTTAATAATCTTCAGAGGTCTAACCAAACACTTTTGGTCTGGGAGTTTCACAAACGATATTCTTTCATTGAAGTAAGTCATTTCCTTAACTGTGCTGAATAATCTTCCTTTCGTGGAGAGGCTATACTTTCATCTGACCCCAGTCATGTCTCCTTCAGACTGACTTAAAAAAGCTTTCAAACTTAATTTCAAAATCTTGGGCTCATGTAGACTCAGCTATAATGGTTTCTGTTACCCGTCATAAAACTCCACAACATTCCATTAACACTCCAGGGATCCTTGCAGTCACCTGCTCTGTCTGACACATTCTGGTTTTAAAATGATAGTTTCGAAAAGATTGATCTAAATTAATGTTTATAACATTTCACAAAAATAGACCAATAGTCATATTCCATAAACTCTCAAAAAATTAATAATTATTAATCATACACCTTTCATCACTATATATTTTATATACATATAGTGATGCATATATAACATATATTCGGATAAGATATGTACAATCAGATAAGGTACATACATGTCTCCCTGACTTTCTCCAACACTGACTCTGTCTGGCATCACTATCTATCTCTCCCTCTCACACTCTGTATCTCTATCTCTCCCATTTTTATTCTCACATTGTATCCTTCTCTCTCATTGTTTTGTCTCTCTCTGTCCCTCTCACTCTGTACCTGTATCTCTCTCTGTCTTTTCTCACATTGTCTCTCTCTCTCTCTCTATTCTCTGCCATCACTCTGTCTCTCATCCTTTGCCTATATCTCTCCCTGCTTTTCTTCACACTCTCTCCAACTTTTTCTGTCATTTCACTGTCTCTCTTTCACCTTCCCTCTCCCACCCTGTACCAATATGTCTGTCTGTTTCTCTCCATCTCTCTCTCTCTCCCTCTCTCTCTCTGTCATCACTTTGTCTCTCTCTCTCTGTCCCTCTCACACTCTGTATCTCTATTTCTCCCTGTCTTCTCTCATTCTCTCCACCACTCTTTCCATGTCTTTGTCCTTCCCCCTTTGACCATATACCTGTATTTTTGTCTTTTCTCAAGTGTATCACTCTGTCTCTCTCCCTCTCTCTGTCATCACACTGTCTCTCACCTTCCCTCTCCCAGTATGCACCTCTCTCTCTCCCTGTCTTTGCTCACTCTACCATCTTCAGAACTCCACAGCTCCACCCTATTTGCAGGGAGATAAAGTGTCACTGAAGTGCCTCGGTGGAAGATTTGGTTTAATTGTGCTTTGAGTGTTGAATAATTTACAGGCCCTTTAGCTGCAGTTACTAACATTTCCAGTTTTAGACAATGTGGTTTCGAACCCACTTAGTGAGACTGAGAAAAAATGACGCAAACATGGAGAGAGAGGCAGAAGTAAATAGGGAGAGGTAGCAGCAAGGAGTCACATTGACCTTTATTAGATACTTCGTATATAACCCACCCTGAACCCCTCGATTAGATTCCAGTCTGTAACTCCCTCCCGGGTATCTGCTATTCTGTATATAACCCACCCTGAACCCCTCGATTAGATTCCAGTCTGTAACTCACTCCCGGGTATCT